GACAACCCCCCGTGATAAATGCCCACATCCATATACTGTAATATATAATCTGATTCAGTTATAATGGTGTCCCCCCCACACTGTTTCTTCACAAATCTATATTTCACTCTATTTAGTATTAAATTATTAAAGTACACAAAGATTTCTTGATGTACTTTTTCAGCAAACCTACCACAATGACTTTTAGGAAAAGGGATAACCTTCGTGTAACTCAGTGCCTCCACAGGTTAACTTGTAGAAGCTTTGTGCTATTTCACCTCAATGCAGAAGACACTGCGCTCTGCCAAGGGTTTAGTCGAGAGAGTGTAAGGCCATGACCGGCATTAGAGGGATGTTTTGCCCCAGTAAATGGCAGAGAAAATGAAAATTATTTCTTAAAAGCCTAAAGGAAAAAACAAAACAAAACAAAAAACAGTGACAAGATGCTGCAGCCTGTAACTCAGAAGCCAAGGTCAGAGCCTGGGTGCTATGGGTCACAGCAGCACCATGTACATGGATTTGTACTTTATAGTTCATACTCCTTGTGCAGTTTGAGTATTTTCCTCCTAACATCCATGGCTCTGATCTGGAAAGGAGCGGCCCATCTATCATCTTCTCCCTGTTCATTCTTGCTTGTTTGTTTTCTAATCTCATTCCTGTTCATCCCATCTAAAGAAAGCAGTTATCTCCCCATGACAAAATGATAGTAAGGGCATGTAAAAGGATGGATTATACATTAAAAATCTGTGTGAATAATTTATGTTAAAATACTTAAAAATTTCTATAAAAAATTTCATTCCTATGAAAGGAGAGAATTGAAAATCAAGCATTTTTACATATGTACATAGAGGTATAAATTCACAGAAAGGGTTTTAAATAGACCTAGTGGACTCTGTATAATATGTACTCATTTTCTAAATCTAGAGAAGCTATAATAAGACAGTACATCGTACGAAAATAAAAAGTGGTTTGATTTTAATAAAACTGGGGAAGAATGAAGTAACATGATTCACTACAGATATCAGTAGAGCCCTAAGACAGGAACTGGTGAGCCCCAGTTCTGATATTGACAATTTCATGGAGAATTCAAAATTTGGAATAAAAACAAAGACATTCTTGTCTTTCAGATTTTAGCTGATAAAGTCCATGTGCTTAATCCTTAGACTACTACTATGACTACCATGTGATGTAGGAATTTTCATGTATCTACTCTGCATTATAGCAAGGGTACTTGCAAAAACATTACACCTTTGTTCCCTAGAAGTTTATTTGCTCCCATTGGTGCTATTCCTCCAGATAGACACATTATATAGAAAGGTCATGATTAGAGTTGTATCCCAGACACTATGCTCAGAATAACTTAAGGCTTTAGATATAAACAAATGAGATCTAAAATGTGAAGGGAAGAGAAAGCCCCGCACTGTCTCCACAAAATGGAAATAAGAAAAAGATAGAAATCGGAACTTGCAAAAGTATTTTTGAGAAAAAGTTCTTAAAAGGCATCGGTGGATCTTTAACAACCCTGCAGTACCAGGACGTTTTAAGTTTCCTTTATAACTAAATAACTAGAATAAGTACTTTAACAAAATCCACAGGGAACTCTGAAAGGATAGTTCCTGTAAAAATTTTGGTAATTAAAAAAATTCGTAGTAGGCCAGCCAAGTGAGAAGTATGCCAACATGTATGTTGGACTGAACTCCATGGACAACAAAAGGTAGCTTAACAGTGGAGGGAGGTGTGCTTTGTTTTACTACCCAAACCCTTTGTGAAAGTAAAAATGTTTTTGATAGTAACAGTGGACCCTTGAGTTACAACTGGCCAGATGAACAACTTGGGTTATGACCAGAATTTTAGTTTTAATTTACAAAGTCTTGAGTTATGACCCGAATGCTGGCCACTTGTGCTTCCAGATGGTCTCAGATACACATCTAACCCTTAAAGAGTTCTGAACTCTTTAAGGAAAATGATAACATCCTTTCCTGTGTGGGGTTAACTGAGAAACCCTGGGCCAGTGTCTCTCTCAGTACACTGAGATCTGCCTGTGTATAACAGAGAGACTTTGAAGGCTGTGTAGAGGAGCTTGAGCCTTCACTGACCAATTTGAGCTACAACCAGCCCTCGAGAATGAATTGAGTTCGTAAGTCAAGGGTCCACTATATTTGTATAGGAATGATTCCCCATTCCCAATTCTCTTCCCTGTACTCAGCAATACTGTCGTCATATCAATTCTGGGAAGTTAATTCTCTCTATACTTGTGGCTATGGTCCTCCACATTGAACTTTCAGTAGAAAACCACACCAGGAAAGTTTTATTGCTTGAATACATGACAGCATTGGTAGATGGGATTATTACCAGTGTCTGGCATTTTCATTATCGAGCCCACTTACAGCCATGAGAGAAAGTCTGCAACCTTGTCCTGCACTTATGGTACTAATAAATGGTAGACTTTCAACAAAAGCAAAATTTAAGCTTAAAAAATTGAAGTGTTTTCTAATGAATAGCAGTTTTATTCCAGAAGTATTTTTTAAAAAGCTTGAAGGAGGGCCAGGGATTTAGCTTAGTGGCACCACGCCTGCCTCGCAAGCACAAGGTCCTGAGTTCAATCTCTGGTAACAACAACAACAAAAAAAGAAAGCTTGAAGGGAACTTTAAAAAAGGATGACTTGGGGCTGGGGATTTAGCTCAGTGCTTCCGCCACCGCCTTTGCAAATACAAGGACTTCAGTTCAATCCCCGGTACCAAAAAAAGGTAAAAAAAAAGATGACTTGGGAAAGCACCAAATCAGAGATAATAACAAATTAAGGCCCATATGGAACATTGATTTTTAATAGGGACAAGCAACCAATGATTTTACTTTTATTTTTTTAGGTGCAATTTGTCAGGACAGTTCAGGTGTCTTGGAGAGGAACAACACTAAGTATTCTGAACCCAACTGCTCATTGAGGTATTTCAGCTTAGTTGAGTTTTTAATAGGTTCCCAAAATATTCCTTTGACTTCCTCCAAGTAAAACTATTAAACTGTTCTTAAAAAGAGAAATGAATAAGGCTGATTCACTGCTTTTCTTTGTGCTTGGCTGAAGAATGTTGGGGTAAAAAGTGAAGGTGGTGACTGGATAGCCAGAAATCTTAATATTTCCCATTTTTAATAAGTTAATGCAAATGAATGTTAAGAGCACGGTAATAAATACTCTCTTTATAGTATTCAGTAACCTAAGGTTAAATGTACCCATGTTACATCTATTCCTGAAGAACTTAGTGGTGGGGGAAGTATAAATTCTTGCTGTTCAAATAGTTTTTTTTTTAAATTTGACTCAAATTTAATTGTCACATACATCCATTTTTCTATACACAATTATAAAAATCTTCATCTAATAATCACAATCATTCTACTTTTTTTTTTTTTTTTTTTTGGTACCGGGGATTGAACTCAGGTCCTTGTGCTTGCAAGGCAGGCCACCGAACTGCTGAGCTAAATCCCCGGCCCTCATTCTACATTTTTATTGCTTCTCTTTTCTTAAGATTAAAGAAACTGAAGCCAGGGATTTAGATCAGTGGTTCCGCCACCTGATTTGCAAGTGCAAGGACCCTAGTTCGCTCCCCAGTACCAAAAAAGAAAAAAAAAAAAAATTTACACAGCAAGAAACCAAAGTAACATCTATAGCTATAGTTTAATTTTCTCAATTACTACTCTGAACACCTAAGCCTGCCTGCCTGCCTGTCTCTATCACACACACAGAGTGGGCAGTTAAGAGAGAAAGGAATACATTTCTTTTATTTGGTCTGATTTAATAGGGCATAAGAAGCTGCCTAAAATATTTGCTTTAATGTTAATGATCATGGCTGGCATTCCTGTCATGCAGGAAGGAAACCCAATTTTCAATCATAATTGGTTCACTTGTTCGTCTGGAGTGGAAAAAAATAAGAGCTATTTATTTTTTAAAGCAACAAGGCCTGAATACCGTGAGGCAATCTCAGATTCGGAGTCCATCTACTTTCCATTTAATATGTAGTCCTCAAGTCTGAGGATGGCAGGGTCATTTTTGTGGATCAAAAGTGGTAACACATGTCAGTGAAAGGAGGGGGATCTAATTTAGGGAAAGTATTAAGCTAAATGATCAATGTGAAATTTTAACAGTCTTGGTAACAAAGAATCATAATTTGTCAAGTTTCAGAGGATAAAAGGAAAAAAATCTCACTTTCAAGCACTTTTCAAGTACCTCCAGAAAATCTGCCATTAAAATATTGCTTTTTTTTCTAATGTTTTCCCTTTTTTCTGGTGAGGTGGCTAAGCATAAACTTCCTTTACTTTCTGTCAACCAAACCCTGCCCCACAGGTCATCGTGTGTGAATTTTAATTCATATCTGACAGAAGCATAGGCCTACAAGGTTATCTGGAGTGTTCATTATAAACAGTCATTTTCTCCCCATGCGTAACAGTCTCACAGAAAGGGGAAAACATGACAGCAAATGCAGTTTCCAAATGTCCCCATTCTGTGTAAGGTCAGGTGTCTTACCAGTTCAAGTTTTGGTAAAGATTTCTGTACATGCTGATGTTAACTACTGCGACAATTATATTACTGAAAAGGATAAAATAACCCGTATGCCTTTGACTAACCCAGTGATCAAAATGCATTTTAACTTCAAAATATTCAAGACAGAAATATTACCTAAACCCTCACCCTTATATTTAAACAGCTATTAATATAGCACCTTCTAAAAGAGGCACTGTTTTAAATAGGCACAGACCAAAAAAATAGTACTCTAAAAATACTGTTGGAATTCACTAATATATCCCATGCCACATAAATTACTGCTTTTTCTTATTATAAAAATATCAATACCCTTAGATACCAATCTGTTAAACATAAATCACCAAAAACATTTCTTAAGTTTAGAACACTGCTCAATTCCAAGATAAAACATGCTTTAAAGTTAAAAAATAAATTAGAGATGATTGTGAACCTAAAGCTGAAGAGAAAAGCATGTATAGTATACATTTAATACTATATACAGATAAATGCTATGTACTTTAGATAACTGTATTCTTAGGAGTATGTCTACAAAAACAAGTATCTCTTATTTTTACTACGTCCAAAGTCTGAACACCACAGTTTGTAATTTTTCTCATTGTAAAAGGACACCGTTTATGCAGCTAGAGATTTATAAACTAAGTAAGTTAATACAATTCCCTAACCTGTCCCTGTATTTTTCACCATGGATCTATTTTGGCAATATGGAGGTATATCTTTCAGACTGTTACAGGTCCTACCTAGGAAGGAGCGACAGTGAAGGATTTCTGTAACGAAAGTGGCCCATTCTACCTGGTAGTGATACAATCGACACCGTTTTCTTCAAGACAGCGCACGTTCAAGGAAAAGCTGATTTAAAAAAAAAAATTTCCATTTTTCACATTACCTCAAAACTGTGCACCTTAATTCTACCAAGAGTACACAAACATAAGGAAAGAGTCCTCCACAGATGCATTCACGAGCCTGTAATTTCAACATAAAGTGCTAAGAAATGAGTAAGGAGAGCGGGGAATATCTCGAGCTGTACATCTTGCTGGAGTTCAGCATTCGGATTTCTGCTTAGGTTCGGGGTGATCATCCAGGTTGGCTAGGTGCTCATTTGGCCCATCTGGTGTCTCACCTGTGACGGCTAAGAGGACGATTTTCAGCCACTTCTGCTTCAGTTCCTCGCTGTCGGCAGCAAAGCTGTGCACGGACTTCGACTGGGTCAGTTTGAAACTGTGTGGCAGGTCTGCGCTCCGTGGCATGTCGTCCACGATGTAGCCCAGAAGTGGAATTGTGGCCTGTGCTCTGACATCCTGGGCAGAGAATACGGTGCCTTAGACAGTGAGATGTGTCAGCCTTTTACGTGTGGTCCCCGCTTCTTCCTACCAAACCTCTCTTCCTACCGCTGTGCCGCCCGGATGCACATCGGAGCTCCGGGCTGGAGGAGGACCCCAACACCCGCTCACACGGCCCCTTGCCCACCATAATGCTGGCTGAAGCCTCAGCAAAGGAGGGCCTGACGTCGGAAGAGAGGGGAGGAAAATGACTGCTATCTCACTGTGTAAAGCCAGCAAGCCTTCACGCGGAGTGAAAAATAATACTTTATTTGGTGGTCTATTCACTTAGCAACTCACTTATGGAAAGGGTTAGGTATTTTGGTCTGTTTCTATAATAACTTGACTAACCATTAGAGTAGATGTAACAGAAGTGTTTAAAATTTTTAGTTTCCAAGGTGAGTGCATACATGGTTTAAGGGTGGTTTGTTTCTTAAGTGCTGCACACTTGGTGTTCAATTTTACTGGAAGTTAAGCCTGTGTAACAGCTGTCCCCACAGATTTATCTCAGATGCACACAGTTACAAAATTCAAGACTGACCTAAATCTTTCTTTCCACTCCAATTACTTTTGTTTCCATTGAGCACAGAACAAAACCAAAAAGCTGCCCTAGTTTCCAGGCATTAAAAAGGGAGCTTTAACAACTTCTCTTTATGCTTTCCTAACTCAACTCACCTTTTCTCAAACCCACTGAATAGGAAGAAGAAAGGAGGCAAACACTCCAAGGTAAAGAAAACAGTGACTCTAAGATCAATTAATCAGCATATACAACAGACTCGATTTTAGCCGGGCATTTTTCAGTTTTAACGAGACACAGTGACACTGCCTAAGATCTTCTGCTCTCCAAAGGTGCAGTGGAAGGATTTTTATTTCTCTGTCCACAAGCCCTCCCTCCGTCCCTCTGAGGGCTCTGTCCCTTCAAGCGCAAGCCGTTTAGCTACCTGGGGGGCCCCGTACATGTACAGCACGAGAGGGTCTTGCTTGGGGATCACACACCAAGCTTTCTGCCAAGGCTTCGACTTCTCCATGTACTGAAGAAAGCTGCATACCACGCTGTTTCCTGAGACTTCTGCCGATTCGATCTAGAAAAATATAATGGAGAAAAGAAAAGAAGCACACAACAAACCAGATACAGAAGTAAATCACCTTAAGGGAAACAACCATAAAGTTCAATATGTTTATGTAAAATACATTAGATCATCCACAAAAGATTCATTTGCAATTATTGTTTTAAACTCTTCTGGGTGGATCTAAAATGTCACCCAAGAAGTCTAAGGTGCTCGGAGGTGGGGCAAGGTTGAAGACCTAGAATAATGTATTCTTGTCCAAAGCTCTTCTTTTTTTTTTGTTTTTGTTTTGTTTTTTGAGACAGGGTCTCTGACCTCGAACTCACAGCGATCCTCCTGCCTCAGCCTCCCGAGTGCTGGGATTACAGGTGTGCGCCACCATGCCCAGCCTCCAAGGCTCTTCTTTACAGCTGCCGTGGGGTGAACAGCTATTCTCTGCCACATACTCCCACCATGCTGTTTCTGCCTTGGAGCTAACTCACCATGCACTGAATCCTCTGAAAACTGTGAGCTGAAATAAACCTCTCTTCCTCTAAGTTTTGGGTGTGGGTATCAGGTATTTTGTCCTGGCACCAGGAAAGCTCACCAATACACTCTCTAACATGGAAAAGTATTTTAAGTCAACTTTAACTCTTTATTACTAGATTCTTAATTTTAAATTTAAAACATTTATCAATTGCTTCCTATATAAGTACTTTTCATGATACATGAATTATTTCATTTAATACTCACACCAACACTGATGGATTAACACTTTATCTCTGAAGCTGAGTTTTTAAATAGCTTTCCCAAGAGTACAGTTTTTAATTTTATGAAAAAGATTTCATAACCAAATAAAAATAAGCTATTACACTGTGTATTGATATCATCAAAGTAGTTATTCAGTACAAGACATAAACCAGATTCTTACAAAAGGAAACAGTTAACTTTTTAACAAAGATTAGTACAAATGAAACAAATTAACATATATATTGAAGAGCTTTTAAAACAATAGAATATATAATCTGGGGAATTATTTGAACTTCTTATTTCTCTCATTTTGCTCTGTATTCTTTTTTTTTCACATAGAAGAAACTGGGTGATATTTGAGCTTGTGTGTTTGACTCATTTCACTGAGCATTACATTCTCAAGTTGCATCGTGTACCCAGGAATGCCTCAAGTTTATCTTTAATGGCAAAGTAGTACTCCATTGTGTGTAAATACCACATTTTCCTTATCTGTTTATCTGCTGCTTCCAAGACCTAGTTTTATAAATTGTGCTACACTAAACCTGGTGATGCATGTATCCCTGTCATATGATGACTTTTACTCTTTGAGAAGATACCTAGGAGGGGAACAGCTGGTTCAAATGATATTTCTAGTTTTAGTTTTTTGAGGATGCTTCCACACTGATTTACATATAACTGTACTAGTTTATAATCCCACCAATAGTGTAGCACAGTTCCTTTTCCCCCCATATCCTCACCAGCATTTGTTATTAGATTTCTTTTATTCTTTTTTTGTACTGGGGATCAAACTCGGGCCCTTGTGCTTGCGAGGCAGGTGGTGGAACCACTGAGCTAAATCCCCAGCTCTGTTATGAGATTTCTTGATGATGGCCATTCTCTTTGGGCTAAGATGGATGGTATCTCAGTGTAGTTTTTTTTGTTTTTTGGTACCGGGGATTGAACTCGGGACCTTGTGCTTGTGAGGCAGACAGTGGCAGCATTGAGCTAAATCCCCGGCCCCTCAGTGTAGTTTTAATTTGCATTTCTCTGATGGCCAGTGATGGTGACCATTTTTTCATGTATTTACTGGCTCTTTGTACTTCTTCTGAGACGTGTCTGCTCATTTTGGTTACTTGTTTTCTGATTGGGTCTTTTATTTTGAATTCTTTATATATTCTAGATGTTAGTTCTCTGTAGAACAGCTGACAAAAATTTTTCCTCATTCTGTAGGGTGTCTCTTCACAGGTTGGTTTCCTCTGCTGTGCAAAAGATTTTTTTTTTTGTGGTACCGGGCATTGAACTCTGGACCCTGTGCTTACTAGGCAGGCAGCAGAACCACTGAGCTAAATCCCCAGCCCCAAAAAAGACACGGTGATATATTGTTTTTGTTTGTTTTTTGTTCAGAAGATTTTTAATTTGACATAATCCCATTTGTTGATTCTCAGCATTATTTCTGGTGCCACTGGGGCTCTGTTCAGAAAGTCCAGGCTTATGCTTAGGTCTTCAAGAGTTTTACCTATTTCATCTTCCAGCAAATTAGTTGTTTCTATTTTAACATTTAGATCTTTGATCCACTTTGACTTTAGTTTACTACATGGTGAGATGTATGGTCATAGACTCATCTTCTGCATGTGGATATACAATTTTCCCAGCACCTTTTCTTCCAGGCTATGTTTTTAGCCCCTTTGTCAAAGATCAAATAGCTGAATGTGCCTGGGGTTGTTTCTGCTTCTGCTGTTCTGTTCCATTGACCCACATGCCTGTTTCTGTGCCGGGACTATGCTGTTTTAATTAGTGTAGCTTTAGAGTATACAGTAACTTCAAGTCTGGAATTGTGATGCTGCTGAGTGCATTTTTGTTATCCAGGATTGCTTTTGCTACTCTGAGTCTCTTCGGATTCCACGTAAATTTTAGAATTGTTTTCTCTAGTTCTGTGAGAAATGTCATTGGTATTTTCATTGGGATTGCATTAAATCTGTTTATCAGTTTTGGAAGTATAGCTATTTTGATTATGTTGCTTCTACCTATCCAGGTTCAGGGGATAGTTTTGCATTTTTTTGATGTCTTCCTCAAATTCCTTTCTCAGTCTGATGTAAGTTTCATTGTAGAGGTCTTTCATCTCTTTAGAGGTTAATACCTAAGTACTTACTTTTTTGATGCAACTGTGAACAGTACTGTTTTCCTAATTGCTTTTCAGTGAGTTCATTTTAGTGTATAGAAATGCTATTGATTGTTGTGTGTTTATTTTGTGTCCTGCTACACTGCTGAATTCGGTTATCAGTTCTAAGTCTTTTGATGGAGTTTTTGGGTCCTATAAATAAAGGATAATGTCGTCTGCAAAAAATGATATTTTGGCCTTGTCTTTTCCTCTACATGTCCCTTTTCTTTTGCCTGATTAAAAAGCACAGTCAGTCAGAATCCAGACTTTGCCTTGTAATCATGGTGTTCACACAATGCAAGAATAAAAATGCAAAAGGTAAAAACTTCCCAGCAATGTCCTAGTACCTGAGAAAATTAAAAGCATCTTCATTGTAATGAAGGTTGGAAAAGCCAGTTTTTAGCACAACAAATGCAAAAGGTAAAAACTTCCCAGCAACGTCCTAGTACCTGAGAAAATTAAAAGCATCTTCATTGTAATGAAGGTTGGAAAAGCCAGTTTTTTGCTTTGCTTTCTAACACATTAATCATTGGCTAAAAGGGAATAAGCCCATTTTATTAAATGACTTTTATTAAATGGATGCATTATGGAAATTTGCTTCCATTTCTCTCTGAAGCCCTTAGGTCCGTGCTATGCCCTGCATTCATGCTGAACACACTGCAGGGCACATGGCAGACTTACGTGGTGCCAACTAATGCGTGCTCAGAATGGCAGTCAACAAACTTCTGTAAAGGATCAGAGAGAAAATATTTTATTCTTTGCAGGCTCAGAGACCAAACCCAGGATATAATGTAGGTATACTTAGGTAAAGAGAACAAATGTCCACCAGTTTTTATTGACAAAATTAACACTATTACTTAGTAAAGCTTTTTCTGGTAATTTTGTATAAATCTATGAATAAGAATGGAAAGGAGATAACAGTTTCTCCCCAAACTGCTGGTTTGCAAGCTCTTGTGTCACCTGTGAAGAATGGCACAGAGTGTCCAGCGATCTGCGATGGTAACAGTGCGTGACTGTGTTTTTGTGCATGGCTGTTATGGGGACAGGCGACTAATGTCACCACTGGAAGCTGGTGTAGCACTGGAGGCAGAGGGCTGCCTGCAGCTCAGCTCCAGCCCGCCACCTGCTTCTGTGTGGCCTGGGAGGCAGGGGGAATTTTCACAGACGAACATTTACAGTCAGCATGGTAACAGCCAACACTAACTTTGGACTTCCAGTGAAGTGAAATGTTATCTTCTCCTAAAGAGAATCCTGTTCGTCTGAGTAGTAGATCCATATTATAGAAACCTGCACACTCAATAATAGTTTGAATTTTTATCCTAACAATGGCTCAGCAATTGAAAAAGATTAAAAATGAAACAGATTTCAGTGTATTTGCAAAGGTATTTTTGTCCATGAAAATTTGTGGAAATTTGTTTTCTTAACCCATTCACTACAGGGCCAGACATGCACGATGGTTTCATCAGGTGGCTTGGGCATCCTGTGTGCACCACCAGTGCGTCAAGCCGGCGGGGACATGGGGAGTAGTCTCCGATGTGCATTAAAGTTTATGTGCACCCATGCTTATCTCCTAACTCGTGGACTTTACACTCCTATCTGTTTAAATAAGTTAATCTAACAAGTAACTGATTAATTAAAAGTATAAAATCTTCTAGAAAACTAGCCAGGTTTTCACAAGCATCCTGAAACTTAGTCTTAAGAAACTTATTCTTAAAATACAATTCCTGACTCATGCTATGCCAGTCCCAGCAGTTGCTGCTGCTATGAAGTCTTGAGGAAGAAGCTATGTTCCTGGAGGCCAGTGAAGACTGTCTTCTCAGCTGCCTAGCACTCTGGGAGGCAGAGGGAGGTCTGTAATTTCCATCCCGGCTTGGGCAAATCAGTGAGGCCCTATCTCTATAGAATAAAGCGTTATTTTTATTCTTTGGTACCAGGGATTGAACTCAGAACCTCAAGCTTGCCAGGCAGGCACTGTGCCTCTGAACTAAATGCCCAGCCTTCAAAGTAGAATTTCAGAAAGGGCCTGGGGATATAGCTCAGAAGGCCCTGTGTTCGATTCCCAGTCCTGCTGCCCACCAAAGCCTTCCTTCCCTTTCTGTCTAAGAAGGCTCTCCCTGGTCTGCCATAAAAGTAGCATCTATATCTCAGGAGGATTCAGGATTATACTTAGTTAAACTTACAGTTTGTGGGGTTCTATTTTTAACTTCATATGAACCTTGAAGTCTAAGCTCCTCTTCCCAGTAAAGGCCTCTGTACTTGTAATGTTGTAAAAATCACTTGTAAATGTTCAATACGCAATGATTGATTCTTTAAAATTTCCTCCAAATGGAATGTATCTCTTGATTTAGATGCACAGAAGTGTGATCGTTATCTCCAGGCTGCCCTCACTTTAGTCACCCATTATTTTATTAGCTTTGGATGTGAAACTCTTCAGATACAGACTACATCAGAGTTCCTAGGCATGGAGGCCTAAATAGATCAACTGACCTTCCTTCCTTTTTTTTTTTTTTTTGTACCGGTGATCCAACTTGGGTCCTTGTGCTTGAAGGCAGGCAGTGGAGCCACTAAGCTAAATTCCCATCCCCCTTCCTTTCTTTTTGAGACAGGGTCTCACTTTGCAGTTCAGGTTGACCTTGAACTCACTATGTAGTCCTGGCTGGCCTGGAACTCGTATTGATCCTCCATCACAGGTGTGCACAACTATTCCCAGTTTAAACTGACTTTAAAACATGAATCAAATTCACTTGAGAAGCTGGGTGTGGTAGCACATGTTTGTAATCCAGGCAATTTGGAAGGCTGAGGCAGGCAGACCACTAGTTTGAGACAAACCTGGGCAATACAGAGACTTAGCAAGATTCTGTCTAAAAGTAAGAATTAAAGACTAGAGGGCCAGGGATTTAGCTGAGTGGTTCCACTGGAAGGTCCCAAATTCGATCTCCAGTACCAAAAAAAAAAAAAAAAAAGAATACTATAATTTGGGTGTTGGGAGAGATTTTAATTAACATTTTAATATTTGGCTATAGCTACTACCACAAAAAATCAATACATCATTTAAAAAAATTAATATCTCATTCTCAAGTGTATGTTTTTTCTCCAAGTATATGTTAAACACAGCAGCCACCCTTTATATGACAACCAAGGAGGATCCCAAAAAAGCAAAACAGAACAAAAATATGACTATTGCTCATTGTTACCCCAAATGTTAAATACTAAGAGAAAGATAATACATTACTTGTATTCCTTGTAGTAGAAAGATAATACATTACTTGTATTCCTTGTAGTTAAAGAGAATTTTTGATCCTTGTATAAAAATCGACAAGATATCCGGTATTTCATACCTCTAAAATTCCTTTCCTTTTCTTTTCTTCACTGTCTGTGAATCCACTTATTATTTGATAACAATCTTTACAAACTTTGCTCCATTTTCCCCCGTCATACTCCAGTTGGGCTTTGTAGTCAGAACACTTCCAACAAACCACCTGAAATTTTAAAAGAGAAAAATGAAGAGTGAATAATCGTGTTCAAACATTAGCAACAATCAACTATAGGTAACGATGACAAAAAGCAAAGGTCGATTTATTAGACTAAGAATCTCCCCACTGAACATGAGGGGTCCACTCCAAGGTGCTGGAATGCTGTCCGCGCTGGGCTCCTTGCACCCTTTTCTTCCAAGCTTCCAAAAGGCACAGTCCAGACTTTTGTCCTTCTGGATGCTCCATTAATCTCTTTCCAAAATGTGCTTGAGATGTTCCCTGCCCTGGGCTCTACACTCCACCCCGTGCTTCTCAACCTGTCCTCCCCAGTCCTCCCTACAGCAAGGTATAGCAACGACACCTAACCAGCCGTGGCAAGAAGGAATCATAGGAATCGTTCTGGGACTCCCTCACTTTAATCCACTGGTTCACAACATTAAGTTTTGCTGGTCTACATCTACACATTCTATTTGTCTAGGTCACCCAAGTCCAAGTTAGCAGCGTTGCAGTGGGGACTGCTCTTCTGGCTTCTACACTGGTGTTCGGGGCATTCCTACTGGCTTCCAGTCCTGCCCTCTTCTACCCGACTCCAAGCTAATTTTCAAATGGCCAGGTGCTCTTTTAAAAATGCTAATCTGATCTGGTCTTCTTTGGTTTAAAATCCTTCAGTCTTCCCTCTGCTCCTGATTGAAGAACACATTGCTAATCACTTCCACAGAGTTCCTTCCCTCTTCTTCCCCTGGCTCTGAATCCTCGGTGATGCCTTCTAACCGCTCTGGAAATGCCATGGTCCCTTCCTCTCTCCTCTCCTCTCCACTGAAGTCTCATAATTCTTGCTCATACTTCCGTATTGGCTTGACTTTCACTTCCTCAAGGATACTTCCTCCACCTTCCAGAAGAGCGCATGATTCTGATCCCTGTACTTTCATTCATAGCACTGATTATATTATTCTCCTGTGATTATTTCATTGTTTGTCTCTTTTGTTAGGCTATAAAACACCAGGGGAGATTGACCTTGGCTATTTTGCTTACCAGGCACATAATGCACATTTATAGAATGCCCACAAGTGAACAGTCATGTCAAACAAACTCATTGGTAAATGTAAAAAACTTTACTTTGACAAAGATCTTTGCTATCAATTTAATTTTGATTTGACTTACTGAGGCAGTTGTGTAAAGTCAGTCTTAAGAAGAGGCAGGAGTCGTGCACAACTGTAATCCTAGCACTCTGGGAGGCTGAGACAGAAAGATCCCAAGTTCCAGCCCAGCATAGGCAACATAGTGAGACCCCCTTCTCAAGAATGAAAAATAAAAAAGGTCTAGGGATATAGCTCAGTGCTGGGCTAGAGTTCAGTCCCCACTTCCAGGAAGAAAGAAAAAGAATAAATCTGCAGTGTAAGAACTGCTGAGTTAGGTATGGTGGTGCACACTTGTAGTCCTAGCACTTGGGAGGCAGAGAGGAGGATGGAAAGTTCAAGGACAGCCTGGACTACAGAATGAGACCCTGTCTTGAAAACCAAAAAAACATACAAATAATCTACTAGATCATAGATCATGACATTGTAATGCCCATTGCTGTGTTGACTTTTTTTTTTTTTCTACTAGGGATTGAACTCAGGACCTTTCACTTGCAAGGCAGGCAAGGTGCCCCTGAGCTAAACCCCAGCCCCCTATGTGTTTACTCTTTCTTAAGAGAAAGGTTATAAGGTATAATTTTCAACTTGATTTATAAAGCTCCCCGAATCACTGCTGCCTCTCTGTGGCTTCAAGTTTTGTTCCTCTTTTACTCTATCTGAAACACAGTCTGATGGCTGATCAAACCACACTCAAGTTATGTTTATACGGAGCACTGTTACTTTTCCACACAGTGATGCACCCCTCAGTTAACTGGTAACCAGAAATATATTTTTGGATGAGTGTTACAGCTTGTGTCTAGATGTTCTCCCAAAGCCTCATGTGGTCTTAGCTGGGGCTTTTTAAAAGGTGGCTGGATCTAGGTGTGTAACTGATTCATGGTACAAGGATTGAGGGCGTGAGTGCTACCCACCCTAAGTAGTCTGGATAAAAGGGGCAGAAAGATACTGTTAAGGGCTCTTGTCTTTGCTACCAATTGTGGGTGCCAGGAACTGTTCCTCCTCCGCAGTGCCCCTATGCCAAAACCACCCTGCCTTGGAGCCAGCCGATCATGAACTGATAACTAAAAACTGTGAGCTGAAATAAACCTGTCCTCCTTTAACTCTGGGTGTCAGGTATTTTGTTTCAGCAAGGAGAAAAGTAACTAAGAAAACTAGTAACTTAAAATTTCCCAAATAGCCATCAAATACAAAAAGTATTAGAAAACTTGTAAGTTTTTTGTTTGTTTGTTTGTTTTGTTTTTTTTGAAACAGGGTCTCACTATGTAAACTGTAATCCTAGCACTCTGGGAGGCTGAGACAGAAAGATCCCAAGTTCCAGCCCAGCATAGGCAACATAGTGAGACCCCCTTCTCAAGAATGAAAAATAAAAAAGGTCTAGGGATATAGCTCAGTGCTGGGCTAGAGTTCAGTCCCCACTTCCAGGAAGAAAGAAAAAGAATAAATCTGCAGTGTAAGAACTGCTGAGTTAGGTATGGTGGTGCACACTTGTAGTCCTAGCACTTGGGAGGCAGAGAGGAGGATGGAAAGTTCAAGGACAGCCTGGACTACAGAATGAGACCCTGTCTTGAAAACCAAAAAAACATACAAATAATCTACTAGATCATAGATCATGACATTGTAATGCCCATTGCTGTGTTGACTTTTTTTTTTTTTCTACTAGGGATTGAACTCAGGACCTTTCACTTGCAAGGCAGGCAAGGTGCCCCTGAGCTAAACCCCAGCCCCCTATGTGTTTACTCTTTCTTCAGAGAAAGGTTATAAGGTATAATTTTCAACTTGATTTATAAAGCTCCCCGAATCACTGCTGCCTCTCTGTGGCTTCAAGTTTTGTTCCTCTTTTACTCTATCTGAAACACAGTCTGATGGCTGATCAAACCACACTCAAGTTATGTTTATACGGAGCACTGTTACTTTTCCACACAGTGATGCACCCCTCAGTTAACTGGTAACCAGAAATATATTTTTGGATGAGTGTTACAGCTTGTGTCTAGATGTTCTCCCAAAGCCTCATGTGGTCTTAGCTGGGGCTTTTTAAAAGGTGGCTGGATCTAGGTGTGTAACTGATTCATGGTACAAGGATTGAGGGCGTGAGTGCTACCCACCCTAAGTAGTCTGGATAAAAGGGGCAGAAAGATACTGTTAAGGGCTCTTGTCTTTGCTACCCATTGTGGGTGCCAGGAACTGTTCCTCCTCCCGCAGTGCCCCTCTGCCAAAACCACCCTGCCTTGGAGCCAGCCGATCATGAACTGATAACTAAAAACTGTGAGCTGAAATAAACCTGTCCTCCTTTAACTCTGGGTGTCAGGTATTTTGTTTCAGCAAGGAGAAAAGTAACTAAGAAAACTAGTAACTTAAAATTTCCCAAATAGCCATCAAATACAAAAAGTATTAGAAAACTTGTAAGTTTTTTGTTTGTTTGTTTGTTTTGTTTTTTTTGAAACAGGGTCTCACTATGTAGTTGAGTCTGACCTGGAATACACTATGTAGCCCAGGCTGGTCTCAAACTCCCAGAGATCCTCCTACCTCAGCCTCCAGAGTGCTGGGATTACAGGTATGTGCCACCACGCTTGGCTCCATGAAAACTTCTAAGTTTTATACAGTTTTGTTTCTTTCTTTCTTTTGGTACGGGGATCAAACTCGGGACCTTGCGCTTGTGAGGGAGGCAGTGGAATTTTAAGTTTTATATAAGTTTGCAGAACTGCTGAGGATATAGAAAAACTGCAAAAAGTCATAAAATGGAATAGCCATTATTAATACCTTTTTGACTAAATAGCTTTTCTGAGGATCTCTTTGTCATGAAATCCAACTATACCCTGGACACTTTACTACTTTCTTTATGGTAAAAAGAAGTCCCCAAACCTCCAGGAAAAGACTCAAAGAATAAACAAAAGAAAAACAATAAGCCTCCAGCGTAATGGTAACAAACAGCAAACTCAAAAGTTTCTGTTTACAGACAGAGCTCCAGGCCTGGAGAAGTGAATCTGACACCTAGTAATTATTTAAAACCTTGCAAAGGAGAGTAAGTATCAACCAAATATCATTTCAGAATTAGAAGAGACAAAATATGTCAGAATAAGCCACCAGAATGATCAGAAATTCCTACTAACAGACTTCACTTGATATTTCCTGAGAAACTGGCATTACTAGATAGACATTCTAAAATTATGTAAATGTTTGGGAAAATAGTGGCAAACAACAAAACTACCAAAAATTATCCAGCAGACTTAGAAGGAACCTTTTGGAAATAAAACAAACTAAAAATGCAAGAAATGGATAGGTCAGCAGATTAGCTACAACTGAGGAGAATAAAACACGGAAAAGATGAAAAATAAAACAGATGAAAATGCATAAAACAAATTTTCTACTGTTTTATGTCAACTATTGACTCACTATCATTTACTCAGTCATGCAAACCTTAATGTGGGGAGTTGTTCTGGACTTCTTGTCTTTCTCAACTCTGAACCAGCTCTCTTTCATACTTCGTCAGATCTTAACACGCTAATGTAGCACAACTGACTCTCAATAACCTGGTCTCTACTCTTCTAGCCCCAGCTGTTGCAGTCCTGTGCTTTGCACTTGTATCCACCTGTATCTCATATGCACCTCCGGTCAAGTATGGGTCACCAGTCTCTGGGGCTGCCGCCAGCCACCTGCCACCTCATTTTCCAGGAGAAAACTCACTTCTCTAGTCACTTGGCTGGGTTCATCCTGTACATACTGCTCTGTGTATAATCTAATGTAGCCCCACTTCCTCTCCCTCCCTGAAAACCCTCACACTGGGCCCTCTGGAATTCTCCCTCCAGGACCAAACTGTACTTCCTGGGGTGGAGGCTGCTTTTGCGCTTACCTCATTTTCTGCCACTTCTTAGAACCTCAGAGCCAAGAGCTGGGGTTTGTAACCCTTTGACTCAATTTCTTGCCTTCAAACATCCCTGGTACCTTTGAGGCCCATTGCCTGGCTCTGCCCACCCCCCCTACTGAGCTTTCCATCCCTCACATCTATTCCAACCCCATCAATCTGCAATTTATAGCTAATGGATCATAATTCACCACTCTACTGCAAAGCCTGGTAACACCAACCTTCACCCGTGACTCTCCCGCCCCCCTTTTACCAGGAAGTCATTCACTGGCAGTCTACTTAGCTGTCCATTCTCACGATCACCCACTGGACTGTGTCCTCACCAGACTGAGCCATCCATGCCTGGCATGCCACATCCAGACACCCATTCTTTGACCACCATTCCTATTTTGAGTTTGCTGGCCTGCAGCTGCCCACTACCATGCAGCCTGCAGACTCCAGCATTTCTCATTCCCAGCAGCCCTCCCTACCAGCCCCACTCCCAGCCTTCCTCCCTTCGTTCCTCCCATGCACACAGTTCCAGCTCCCTCCCCTACTTTTCCTCACTGTACAGGCTGTGGACGAACCCTGCCATCTGCCTTCAGTGGCCTGACTACTGCCACGTGTTAGAGAAAAAAAGACTGCCCTTTAAGTTTACAACCACGGACTTCTACTGGGATTACTGTTGTCAGGCCAGAGACATGTCCTATACATATTTAGTCTTCTTTCTTGAATCTCTCCATCACCCCTCTCCTTCCTCCTCCACTTTCAGCTGACAACTGCCTCACTCCTCAATAAAAATATAATATGGAACCTGGAACGCCCTCACTTCCCATCCTGAAAACACACAAAGAAATCTACCCAATCTGTCTCTAACAGACACTGGCTCCAAACCCTCCTCCATGACCAGGACTCTCCATAGGAACCTCCTGATTGCTTTCTAAAGTCCATCAGTTGTTGATTAACAGCAAATTCTTATTTATCTCTCTCCCCCATTACAGTGCAAGCTCTTCGAGGCCAGGGACCCTTCAGTCTAGCCTTCCCCAGTCCCACTCACGTGTCCACAAGCTCGGCAGTGGTGCCGCCTCCGGGTCAGGGCATTGAAAGACTCTTTGCATTTCATACACATGGTTACTTCGTTGTCTCGGATCCACCGTGGGGCTCTCTTCCCTAGCTCGGCGGTCTAGAAAAAAAGGAAATTTAACTCTAGTAGGGAAAAAAGTAATTCCCTTGTATTTCTTTAAAAACACTGTCACCCCAGGTTGCTTCATGATGCTTTGCTGCCTTCTGCCCACCATGAACTGTTTCTCTTTTGCGGGGCCACCCTGCCTTGGAGCCAGCCAGATATGAACTGAAGCCTCTACAAACTGTGAGCCAAAGAACCCTTTCCTCCTTTAGCTTTAGGTTTTGGGTATTTTATCTCAGCAATGAGAAAAGTAACTAAGACAGATTTGGGTACCAGGAAGAGAGTTGTTACTGTGACTGTACCAGACATTGTGGTTCAGAGGCCTTTGGAATTGGCTTGTGGGAAAAGTTGGGAAAGATTGAGATGCCAGCTGATGAAGTAACCCTAGAATGCCTTAAGCTGTACTTGATGGGAGATTCTGGTCAAGCTCAGAAGACTAGAATGCTGAGAAAGATGCTGCCAATAAGGCCAGGTTTATGAGTCTTCTGCGGGGAAGAAGGACTGCATTGGCCGTTGGACTCCAGACAGTGTGTATTATATCTTGGCAGAAAGTTTGCCTGGATTTTGCTCATGTCCAGAGACTTTGCCTGAGTCTAAGATTAAGGGTGGCAGATTAATCTTGCAGAAGAAATTTCAAGACAATCTAATCTTGAGGTAGGGCATGGCAACTGTTAGGGACTTTTAGCCAGATTTATGTTGAGAGTCAAAAGCAAAGAGCGCAGCAGAATGATTAAAAAACGTTGTAAGTTTGGCTAAAAAAGAAAGTTTCAATACCGTTGTGGCCTGCAAAGATGGAACAGAGGAGAAGTGATTGTTGGAAAGACTAGCAAGGAAAAGCCAAATATTTCAGAAGAAGACAGCAGAAAAGATGGCCCAAGGATAACATAAGAACCGGCAGGACTCTAGCCTTTACAGCCTCAGAACTTCAAAAGCGAAGGAATCTGCTTTCAGAAGACAGCCCCAGAGCACCATGTTCTAGGATGGCAGCAGCCTAGAGCATTTATTCCTCATGATTGGGTTCAGAGTGTTCAGTAATCCAGGGATTCAACCCCTACAGCCAAAAGAGAAGGAAGCCTGGCTACTGCTCCAGCTGGCAGCAGACCTTGGTATCATCCACATGGTGCTGGCTTTAGGTGCATGCAGAATGCAAAAGTTGTAGGGTCCAGAAGGCTTCCACCCAGATTTCAAAAGAAAGCCTGGGAGGCCAGGCAGTGTGCTCCTAAGAGAGAAGTGTGTGGAAGCTGTGAGTGTGAAGCCAAAAGGGCAGTGGAAGTCCCAAAAGTTTGGAGAAGTCAGGAATGTGGATCGTCAAAGGAAAACTGCGAGGAGGAAGCAGAACTGGCCCAAGAACGAAGCCATAGGAGCTACATTGGCAGTACCATAGTGGGGGAGCCATCCAAGCCCTTTGGAGTTCACAACTTGCCACAGATCGCCAGGGATTCTGGAAGTGGAACTGTGGGATTTACTGTTTGTTCTGCTGGATTTTGGTCTTGCTAGCCCCGTTTGTACCTTTTGGGATGGAAATGTCTACCTTGTGCCATTGAATGTTGGAAGTGTTTAACTTTCTTTTCACTGGTACAGGGAATTGCAGCTAAGCGTTTGCCTTACATCACAGAGATTTTGGACTTGGACTTTTTAGCAATGCTGAAACTCTTAGGACTAACATCTTGGAGGTGAACTAAATGCTTTTTGCATAAAGGGATGGGCATGAGTTCTTTTTTGGTGGGGGACAGGGGCAGAATCTTATGGTTTATGTCTAGATGGTCCCCCCAGCCTCATACAGTCATAGGCGGGGTTTTTTCAGAGGTGGCTGGATCTAGAATGTATGATTCTGGAATTGATTCATGGTGTAATGCTAGGATAAAGGGCCCTAGGATGAAAGATGTGAGTGCTACCCATCCTAAATAGGCTGGATAAGATATAAGGGATAGAAAGAGCCGTGGTAGTCTGCCTTGTTGCTTTACTATTCTGCCCACCACGAACTGCTTCTCCTCTGCAGTGCCGGTCTGCAATGCCACCCGCCTTGGAGCCAGCCAATTATGAACTGAGACCTCTATAAACTGGGGGTTAAATAAACCTTTCCCCCTCTAGCTTTGGATATTTTGTCTCAGCAGTGAGAGAAGTAACTAAGACACCTCCCTCCCAGGACAAATGTTAAAACAATATGCACAGTGTTATTAAACTTGCTTAAAAAACCACTGTCACTCCACTGTGTAAGCCATGTTCTGAAACTCCAGAACCAGAAAAAAAAAAAAATGTCAAGTTTAAGAAGCTTGAAGGGGGTACTCACTACTGTCTGCATCAAAGATTCTGTCTAAACAGTGCTGGCATTGCAAAGGGAAAGGCTGGCTAACTTAATGATAGGTCTTTTGCAGATGTAAAGAGAGAAAAGAGCTTAAAGTTAAGAACTTAACTTACAGAAACCTCAGCGTGAATGTCATTATCCTTTGCAATTGCATTCCTGAAGGTTTCATGCCTTTGATGAAAAGCATCAATAGTCTCTTGAAGAGCCTAAAATATAGATGAAATTCAAAGCCCACATTATTAAAGTACCACATGAAAATCAATGGATAAACTTTATTAAACAAATATCTATGATGGGAATCATCTTTAGTTTGTTCTGAGGACTACAGAGTACACACAACAGTATGTGCAGCTTCATGTACACAGAGAGAGGCCACCAATAAACACAAAGAGAAGGAAGGCTTACCTTGATCCATTCTTCTTTGTCTTGCTCAGAACTATAACAAAATTAAAGTAAATGCAGAGAACATTAGTGAATTACGCCTAATAAATAAAACTATGCTTTAAGATTGTTACTACTTCCTGGAAAATCCACAGGGGAGGCCCTAGATGGCATTACAATAAAAATTAAGCAGGATCTCTGGTAATTGAACAGATTCTTCTTAAACATAGTATCAGATAATGTGCTACCTTTGGTACCTGTAGGTTTTGATGAGGAGAGTTACATTAGCTTCCATTAGTACAGTGCCTACGTTAAGTTTGGAGACCAAAATGTAGCCGTGTCTATCAAGTGCCTGTGTACACCTAACACACATTACAACTGCTTTCTTCCAATTTTCTAAAACACATGAGGGCTTTTAAAGCCTAATAGAAACAGCCCATCTTAGAAAAAAAAATTACCTATCTTTGAGCATCTAAAATATCTTCTTAAGGCCTTGGCTGCCTACTTAACATTTCCTCTGAGAAACAATTTAACTTTATTTTCCTATTCCTAGGAAGCTTCAGCAGTACCCTACCACTATATATAAAACAGAACACACAGTGTAAGCATTTTCAGTGTCTGCAGGAAGGTTTCATAGATCGATAGACACCAGGGTTTAGTGATTTTCCTCAGGGAAAAATTTCCTTGCTGTGGTCAAGTTTCCTTTTTCCAGTTAGGGCAAATTCTCCATTTCCTCTCCTTTGCAAGAAGTGTGTGTAGGTGGCCATTGCCATAGACTGTATTTGAAATATCCCCTTTGGTAGACTTGGAACTGGGTAAGATCTCTAAATTCTGAGTAGTATCCAAGAATGGCTTTGTTTGCTGTGGTTGGGAGATTAAAGCCAAGTGGGGCTTCCAACCTGAAAGTGACCTGCTCTTTCTGATAGAACAAAGTACACACAAGACAGCGGGAGGCCTGTTCTGAGGCACCAGGCAACACTCGTGTATTTACCAATGTGTCTAGACTGCCAGGCAGGGAAGATCCTGCCTGCTGCCCACTGAGGACCTTCCAATCTGCCCCTCAAAAACAAAACCAAACGAAAACAGCAACAATTTCCTACTGTGCTGCCACACCCCACGGCACCGATGCCCTGGAAGCGGGGTTATTTGTTAGAACCTCGACAAGACTTAACTAATGCTTTTTGTCTTAGTTTTTTAGCCACGGTAGGTTTTTCTAAGTCAGGGTCTCCAGTGCAGCACCCTACCATTTGTGGCTCGGGATTTGAGTGGCTGGGTCCTAAGCAGGCCCTTCAGAGGCAAGCCCTCCTCCACCTCTCAATTCTCACTTGAAATGCTGCCTGTGAATCTTCACAGCCATTCCCTGTAGTGGGGGATGGACGGTTTTTATATATATTCCTTGTGAGAAATCAAAGAAATGGCTATTTCTTCAAACTCTTTCAGTCTGCCCTACCCTGCCTAACTGCAAGTGCATCCACTCTTAGATTCCTGGGCATGGATTCCAGATAAAATTATTTATTCTATTCTGAAAGTCTGAACATGAGGAAGGTCTCAGGCAGTGACAAAATACAAATGTATGTCACAAATGTACTTCAGCATCCGGAACTATGTGCCGTCATGCAAACAAACAGAGAGCTCTCTGACCCTGCATGGTTCTCAGGCGGTGGTACTGCTAGAACTGTGCTGGTACTTTTAATCACACTCAGATCTCAGACCTTCAGGATGTCCAAATTTTCACTATGCTCAGCCTCTGCGGGCTACGTGGATGGCTGCTTTCTAAAGCAGAATATATTTCAGTAGCCGGAAGCACCTTATCTTCCAGAGGTCCAGGACCAAGGAAGCCAGCCACGATCTGCAGTTACTCCACACCACCTCCCAACCATGGATACGCCAGAGGAACAGCAGCCCAGAATGCCAACCCCTTCCTGCAGACAGCATGAAGCGCAGAAGAGCCACCTTTCAGAAGTCCTGACAGCTATCAGTTGACTGAATACCAACTGTCTTGTGTTTTTCTCTTGGTACTGGGGATTGAACTCGGGATCTTGTGTTTGCGAGGCAGGCGCAGTGCCACTGACCCAAATCCCTGACCGTGAATACCAACTGTCTAGAGCCTACTGCCTTGGGCGCTGCCAAGGAGCCAAAGCAGAGGAAGATGCAACATCTGCTCTATTGACACCTGAGCAGAGTCCCAGACGTCCCAGCTGCAGTAGTGACTTGGTGGAACCCCGTCCTAGTACTTGTTCTGATGTTCTCAGAACGCGATGTGACAGGGAGGGATCCTCATACCTGGCCTGCAGTTCCAGCGTTCGCTCTTTGCCAGACACCTGGAAAGTATGTGGATATTCTTCATTGTGAGTCTCTACAATTTTCATTCCATCGATTCCAACCCTGTTCCGCACTGTGAACTTTGAGCCCACCAAGCTGAATCTGGGCACACAGTAGAGCAACATGTTGTTGAACTGTGAGGAGGCAAAACATATCAATAAACAGGAACATAAAGAAGAAAAACTGACCACTATTAAAAGTAGCCCTAGAAAGTCTACGGAATTTCCAAGGAATATGGTACTTCTTACGGAAACAGCAGTTACTACACCCTGACATTTAAAAATTATGATAGTCTCAAAACTTTAAAAATTATTTTCTTTTTAGGGTTCACATATTTCATTAATATTTATGTAAACCAGTTGCTTTTGTGTGTGTGTGTGTGTGTGTGTGTGTGTGTGTGTGGTACCAGGGACCGAATTGAGGACCTTGCAATTGCAGGCAGGAGGTGGTACCACTGAGCTAAATCTCTAGCCCGCCAATTGCTTTTTTGTACTAGTACTTCAGCAATAATTTAGTAACAATAAAATCAGTCACAGTTTACTAAGGACCTTTGAAATACTGGCAACTGAAGTTGTTTTGTGTGGGGGCAGTGGGGATTGAAGACAGGGCCTCACATGTGCTAAGCAAGCACTCTTACCACTGAGCTAAATTCCCATCCCTGAACTGATGTTTTTTCAAAGTTAAAGTCCTTACACACCCCATAATTTCTCATTATTGTACCTGAGAATACACGTACACAGTATTTTTCACTAGTGCTTTTTTTTTTTTAAGGAGCCAATTCATGAATCCAAAGTACATTAAACCTTATATAAAACAGTAAATCACACAGCCAAGATCTCTCTCTTTTCTTGGGTAGGGAGTTGGAGAGATGCAGGATCTCATTATGTTGCCAGGTTGGTCTTGAATTCCTGGGCTCAAGTGATCCTCTTGCCTCAGCCTCCAGAGTACCTGGGATCACAGGTAGGTACTAGCACACCTGGGGGCCAACATCTCTATTTTTACGTGGGATCTCAGTAATCTTCAAAGGTACAGTACTATGAGTCCTTGAGTCTTATCAACTATGAAAAATTACAGAAAAGCCATCAGTTTTATCAGGAGTTCTTTCAAGATAGGGCCTTCCTTATGAAGATAAGATAGACTTTTGATATGGAAGACTTTATTTTGATACTAAATCAAATTATGTACAGTGCCTCATTTTCTGGTCAACAATTAATAATAGCCTTTACTAACTAGGACTATAAGAAATACATTAAAAGGTTCATATAATACAAATTTATTTCCAATAGCTTTATGAAAGCACTTCTATCAAGTATGTTAAAACATGCAAAGAAATGCAACTAAATATTTAGGTTACTTTAAAATTATTATATTTTGAGTATATCTAGGCTTGCATATATATATATCTTTCCAAGATAAAGAGTAATTAGGGGTTACAAAAATGTATCTTTTAAGATTATTTTTCCAACAGCATGTGCTTTAAATTCCAACATGATTTTTACTTCAAAGCTTCTCAATTTGTTACTTTTCAAGCTTTCTGTAAGGCTTCTAAGTCCCATACTGGAGAATATAGAAATGAGAGCATTGAATAAAATTTCAAAAGTATCTCAGATCCCATACTGACCTCTCACTGTCCACTTTGTTCTCAGTCCCAGCTTGCCTAAGGCGTCCTGCTTGCTAACTTTCCAAGCCAGTGTTTCTTTCCCTCTTCCTTTGAGGTTCCCGTAGGAGGGGACTTGGTCAACATACCACACATACTGCAGGGGCTACAGAGCTTACCACAAGGAACAGAGCTCGTACTCTGAAGCCGTCAACAGTATCAAGCTGTTGCTACGCACAGAATGGCAAATTCAGTGTCATGGCATAAAATGCCTGAGTCTTCTGACCCTTGTGCTCAGTCTTGTTATTTTATAGATACAGAAATACATGACCGTGGAGGTTTCTAGCATTTGCCCTCTGTAGTTACTCTCATAGAAGATGGCAGACTAGTCTGTAGATATGTTTTTCTTTCCTCCCTTCCATGCTTTCAGGAAGACATCCCACTTGTTTTATTCTTCCCTGGCAGAACTTCATAGTCTAAACTCTCAGTAATTATAATTAATCTTAAAAAATCCAGACTATAATCTAATGCTAGTCAACACATATCTTTTATCATCGTCAAGTATTGAAACTGAGAGCTCTTACAGGATAAAAAATATTGCTTACAAAGAACAAGACATTATCTATATTAGAAAATTACAGAACAGGTAACTGGTCCTGTTCTGAGAAATTTTCTTCTGTGGCAAAAGTCACTGTCATCTTCACAAATAATTTTCCTCATCTCTGGGTCTCCCTTAATACTGAAAGAGGTTATTCCACAAAGCAAACAGATATGCAAACATGGGACATCATTTAAATACAAAATTAGATTCTAAACATAATTTGGCTTTTCAGAGTAGGAAGTAGAAAACTAGCCTGCATTGTCTCCCTTGAGAGAAAAGAAAAATGGTACTTGTGAAGTTGCTATGCATAGGACAAACATGACAGGTGTAATTTCAGAGAGGATGAATTCAGTGAATGAGCACACTGGAAATGCTTCTGAGACCGGCACTGAAGGGGGAATGTAGCTTTCCTGCCGTGGACCCTGCTCTGGGAGGCACTGGAGTGACAGGTCCAAGAGCTGGTGGTAACTGAACCGGAACAAGACAGGTCTTGCCCTCAGTGTCACTGACTGTTGTGTCCTCCAAAAGCTCTTTGCAGTCTCTACCGAATAACAGACTTAAAATACTCAATCTAGGGCTGGGGATTTAGCTCAGTGGTGCTGCCGCCTGCTTTGCAAGCTCAAGGTCCTGAGTTTGATCCCTGGTACCCCCTCCCCCCAAAAAACAAAACAAACCAACAAAAAAACGCTTATCTAAAACTATTTCCAGAAAAATTCTCGAGTGTGAAATTTAAACCACTGCCCTTGGTCAGAGACAGTAGGTTTTAAACCTGAGACGTTTATCCTGAGTCCCAACCTTTTTAAATTTTGAGAGGGGGAACCTCACAAAATTGTCCAGGCTGGGTTAAAATATGCAATCCTCCTACCTCAGTTTCTCAAGTCCTGTGATTTGAGAAGTGCCCTATTATGGCCACTCAGAACCAAAAGTTTAACTATAGAGACTCTCACACTAATAAGAAAGAAGAGAAGGGAAAAGGACTCAAGTACCCATGATATAAACCCAGGACCGATGTGGATTCCCAGGGATTTGGGCTGGAACAATGTTGTTTACCCTGTAGCTCTCATACTTTGATATCGTCAGGCCTTGCTGACACTGAAGGGACTGATACTTCCAGGGTTACTCAATTCCTTGAGATACTAAATGACTCCCTTGTGAGCACACCCTCCTTTCTGAAGCCAATAGGTTCAGAGCCAAGAGCCTCAACTACTCCCTTGATCAAGCTGGGCCCACTACCTCCCTGCCCTTATCACCCCGAGGCCAGGTGCCAGACAGCAGCCCTAAGCCCCAGAGCCCACGGAGGTTGGTCAAACTGCATCCCACGCCTTCACTCTGCCTAGCTGAAAGGTTCCTGCCTGCCCCTCTGCTGCCTCACTGACCCTGAGGCTTCCCCGCTGCTCCCTCCCCAAGGCAGGCACGGACCCTCCTCTTGGGGTCTGTCTTTCAATGGCAATAGTCTCCTTATGCCCAACTCGTATTAAACCTCTATTTTAATAACAGACTTTTGGTAGAGCTCTGAATCCTGATGTGATTACAGCCTACCTACCATTTTCTGCTTAATTCTCTTTAGCTTAGATGAAGATTTTCAGAGTTAACTTGGACAATACCTATATATTTGGGGGGGGGGGCGCTGGAGCTTGAATCCAGGGTCTTCACACTGAGCCCTATTTTATTTTGAGACAGAGTCCTTCTGAGTCACTAAGTTGCCCTAGCTGGGCTCAAACTTGTGATCCTCTTACCTTAGCCCCTCATGGTGCTGGGATTACAACTGTGTGCCATGCTCAGCTGAAAACCTTGTGCCCATTTTCTGCTCCCACCGGCCTAGGCAAGTACGAATTACATCCCATCTCTGTGTACATGCACACACTGAACATTTCATACACAGCGGTACCTGATTCATGAACTCAGTTCTCTCCATGATTCCAGTCACAAAACAAACTGGATGAGAACTGAATCAGGTATCCCCAAAACACTGAACCTACACGCTGCATTTGATTCAGTTCTCATCCAGTTCAGTTTGTGATCAGAATCTTGGAAAGAATTTCATTCGTGAACCGAGGCACTGCCGGATTCATACAGGACACGGCCTCTTGTGACTGGCTTTCACACGGCAAAATGTTTTCAACGTGCATTTCAACCCATGTAATGCACCCCACATTTTCCTTTTTGTTGACGTACAATATTCCACCGCAGGATATAACACATTTTCGGCGGTGCACTTTTTGTTATTACAAATAATGCCTCTATAAAACATCAATGTACAAATTTTTGTTGATATATATATATATATATTTTTTTTTTTTTAATTTTAA